GGGGTGAGTGGGAGCAGATAGAAAAAGAGAGAATGAATGAGTGGGTGGGATGGGAAGGGGTTGTGAATTAACAAATTTCATGTCATCCCAAACATCATGTTATCACTCCTATTACACATTTTATTTTTTCAAGCCCGGAGTTTCCCCCCTTTCCTCGACGCTATCTTCTATATTTCTTGCGCTTCCGTTTCTCAATTTACACTTGAGAGACGCGCCAAAACCTCTAACCATGTGCAGCGTAGATAGAGAAGAATTTTGCGCTTAATCAGATCTGTCAGCGGTGTGTCTTTTTTATATTAATTTTTTTTTAACTTGGAAGAAACCCCCAACCACTTTGTGAATCCCTGTTTCAATCTTCTGATAACAAAGATGCTCTTTTGGATTGAAAAAGAAAAACAAGGGTGTTGCGTCCTGTCTAATTAACTTTAGGGCATCAGGAAGTTCTTGGCGAATTGCTGGGTTAAAAGTGGGTGGTTGGGCGGGGGGCGCTACTGGTAGGTCCTACTTCTTTACTTTCCCCTCTGTTGTTTCTGTCTGTCAGTCTCTTACTTTTCCCCCAGCACTAAATGACCATTATTGTGTCGAAGTGCTTCTCTTTACTCAAACTAACAAACGAAGCTGGTGGGTGGTTGGCGGGTGCTGTGGTGTGGTTTGCTTTTTCTCTTCTATGAAGTATCTATCTTCCTTATCTCCCCTTTTTCTTTTTTTCTTCTTTTTTTTTTTTTTAAAAAAAAACATATTTTGTGCCTTTAGTCAATGTTTTTCAGTAAATTTCACATGGAAATGTGTATTTATATCAACCTAAAAGAGGTTAAGCTAAAAAAAAAATTCAATAAAAATTTAAAAAATGGTGGGAAAATGCCTGTTTCTCCAATTTCGTATTTTTTTATTTTTTTTTGACGAGCGGCTGATTTCGACACTATGCCTCGCGTATTTCAGAAGTGGCAGGTCACGTAATAAACTTCCATTCCCTTCGTAAAGAAAAAGTGTTTTAAACGTCTTGCTTTTCCTAACGCTGATAAGAAAATACGAGATTTCATTTTTTTTCAAGTGTGAATTAAAGAAGCTAACGTTCGTAAGCTTCATGCAAGCTTTAATAAATCAGGAAGACGATGTTACAAATGACCCTCTCCCCTTCCTTCTCCACCCTCCCCCCCCCCCCAACCCCTTTCCTCGTTCCTGTAAATCGAATTACTTGCCACCTCGTTTTCCTCTTTTGGCGCCATTTTAATTTTGTTTGACAGTTTTGGGATTGGTTTATCAATTTTTCAATCTCTCTTTTAACATGTTTATGTTTGAGTTTTCAAAAATTCTGTCTGGGGTGAAATGTTTACCTTTTCATGAGATCAGCTTCATTAAAATAGCTGCTGTTATGCAGTCAATGTTTGGCGTCCTATAACATAGACTCTTAGCCTTTGCTTCGTAAAGTTCTGGTCTCTACAAAATCGGTGGATTGTGAAAATACATTATTTCTGTTGGGTTTGCCTTTCTAAAGATTGTTGTTGTTCTTGTGGCGATGGCAGTTCGCATATTATTGAGAAATCACAGGCTGTCCGAGATCGCGTTTGATGGGCCCTTCGTCTCTCTCAACTGCTCCATTCTTTTCTTCCTCCTCTTCTTTTTTTCTTGCCTTGCTCTCTCTGTCTCTGTCTCTGTCTCTGTCTCTGTCTCTGTCTCTGTCTCTCTGTCTCTGTCTCTCTGTCTCTCTCTC